TGAGTTCACTTTAGTTCGGCGTTCCGGCAATCCCAACTTTTGGTTGGTAGCCTTTGCTTGATTCCAACTTTTGGTTGGTAAAGTTTTGTTGATGTGATTCCAACTCTTGGTTGGTAGTCTTCTTTTGTTGGTTTAACTATTGAGGTTGGTTTTTTTCTCTCCCCCACGGGGTTCACCTTCGGTCGGTGTTCTGGTGATCCTAACTTTTGGTTAGTAGCCTTGTTCTTCAGCTTTTGGGCTGGATGTTATCCCTTGTAGATTTGAAGTGATTTCAACTTTTGGTTGGTAGCTTATATTCGGTGTTGTTTCATCCAGTGATTCCAACTTTTGGTTGGTAGTTTATGCTTATTACCTTTTGTTGTATTTCGATTTTTGGATTAGTATACTCCCTAGTGAGGTCGTTGTTTTCAGGATGTTATTTCCCATCATTTCGCCTTCGATCAGTGTTGTGGTGATTCTAACTTTTGGTTGATAGCCTTTGTTATTCCAACTCTTGGATGGTAATGTTTAGTTTTTATCTCCAGGGAGTAACTTTTATCCCATCTTTTGGTTGGTATCCTTTGGTTATTATCTTCTGATAGATATCCTTCCCCTCAGAGTTGTCTGTTTAGCCTTCTCTTCGTCCCCCAGCGAAGTTGTCTTTTCCCTCAGGTTGTAAGTCTGTTGATTGTACGTCCTGTAGGTTTTTGATTTGATTTTTTTCCCATAGAAGGTTACCTTTGGTCGACATTCTGGTTATCCTAACTCTTGTTTGGTCTCCTTTGATTGTTATCCCAACTCTTGGTTGGTATCCTTTGGTTGTTATCCCAACTCTTGGTTGGTATCCTTTGGTTCTTTATCCCAACTCTTGGTTGGTATCCTTTGGTTGTTTATCCCAACTCTTGGTTGGTATCTTGGGTTGTTATCCAAAATCTTGGTTGGTATCCTATGAGTTTTATCCCAACTCTTGGTTGGTATCCTTCGCTTCATCCCAACTTTTGGTTTGTACCCGGCAGTTTCATTCCAACTTTTGGTTGATATTTTGTTCATCTTGGATTGTTATCCTCAGCGTGTCGCATCCCAACTTTTGGTTGGTATTCTCTGTTTTACATCCCTGAAGGTTGCAAATTTACGGTTTCTTTTGGTATTCAATCACCTTTTACCTTGAATGTTTGAAAGCGGTCGTTTTTCATCCCTTCAAGTCCAAGTTGTTTGAATAGGGGCAATTGTAGCGCCCCAAAATTTACCTCATGGTTTATGGGTTTACTGGCTTATGTTTCTTTGCATTTTTCCATCTCTTCATATCATGGCATTAGTCCTAGAGACATGGGATCAAGGTGTTTTTGTGGCTCAGGGTTCTCTTTTGTTGCAAAAGTTTAAACAACGGGCATCAAAGGCTCCAACATTTATTTTGCCCACGATCGATCGGTCGATTTTATTTTATTCATCAGGTTTTTTTTAGTTCAGGAGACAGTGTACAGGCTATCTCAGGCATTCTCACAGTTATAATATCCAAGGGAAAGTTTCAAAGGCTTAACAGAGCTTAGAACAAATGGCAGCGGGTGATTATACAGGATTCGCTCCATTTGGCGCCAAATTGGACATTTTTTGAATGTGGTAACTGTTACCACATATGGGTAATCTGGGTGAAGTTTGTCAAGATATTTGAATTTTTAGCAGTGCAAGTTTCCATTCATTTTCAACCATTGATTTCACATGATTATCATTGGAAGGATCTAGAATTGTTTCAATTTTCACCATTTCCCTCCAAATTTCAAACACTTCATTCCTAGTTTCACTCCTAATTTCCATTCCAAATTCTAATCCATATCCTAAACCATATTTTGATTTCAAACCTAGATCTTATTTAAGTGAATTTGCTCCAAACCTCACACAATTACATTCATTTTCAGATTTCACATTCATTCTTGAGAATTTTCTCTCAACTTTCTCTCAACTTTTTCACTCCCAAAACCTCCATTAAAGCTCTTTTCACTTGAGTTTATTGATTCTTCATTAGAATCCTTGAATTCTAGATCTAAACATCTAACATTCATCTGAATTTGGAAGTAAGATTGGAAGTTCTTTTTGGATCAATTTTGGCTGGATCTTGCTTGTTCTTCACTTCTACCATAAGGAAGCTCTTGGATCTTGAAGAATCTCTGGGTTTCTATCTTGGATATGTTAATTTCAAGTGAATCAACATATACCAAAGCAAATCTCAGCTTTGAAGGTTGGTGAATTCTAGATCTAATTATGTTTTGAGATTATTTGAATAATCACAATGTATATCCATGGCTTTTGATGCATTTTGATTCATTTTGTTGATTTGGATCTTTGTGATTTCAATGTTTGATTGTGTTTACATGATGCTTGATCACTGATTCTTGGTGTTGATTTTGTGCTTAATTGATAACATGTTCATGTGATTGATTGGATAAGTTGTTTGATGCTGAAAACTGATTTTGGAAGTTGCTTTTCTGTTTTTGGTTCAGTATTAACCGGTTGCCACATATGGGTAACCGATTACCCTTCATAATTTTCCCGTTTCCAGACTATTTTTTTAACAGGTAACCGGTTACCTGATTACAGTAACCGATTACCACTGAGCAAAGTGCTTTGTTTTTGCACTTTTCTTGCTTGTTTGAGCTCCTTTTCACATGTAAACTTCATGATTTGATATGATGCATTTATGTGGATTGTTTTTGACATATTTCATTGTTCTTGAATGTTTGATCTCAATTCCTTGACACGTAGCATCCGATTTCCGTTTGAGTGCATAGCATGTTATTGTTGCTTGATTGATGAATGATAACATGCTTTGCTTGCTCATACCATGTTAATTGTTTATCATGAACTATTTGCTTTGTTGGATGTTTGTTGCATGTTTGCATTTGTTTCAGACTCCGCTTTGTCACACGTTTGTTTGATCGGTTGGTCGTTCAATTTGAATTGAAAAACATGATGATCTTGTCAATTCTTAATGATGCAATGTTGTTGATCAATTAGGTTTGATTATTGAAACATGTCCATACTTGCATGATGTTTGTTCATGATTAATGATTGCTCTTGATTAATTGCATTCACACGCTTGCTACCCTACTTTCCACAACTGTGGTGGTTTTGAATTATGCATGTTGTCCTTGCCTTATTTGCTTGTTGCCTGCCTTTTTACACCTGTTTTTGTGCTGAACATGTGTTGTTATATGTTGTCTTGCTTGAGTGCTGGATTTTATTGTTGTTTTGTGCAGGAGGCGCTGTTGTAGTTGCTGCTTTTGCCTTGCTTTCTTGCTTTTGTGCATGTTCCCTTAGGTTTCTTATTCCAATTAAATTTTGAGTAAGATATACATTAGGATGGCAATCCATGCATGATAACAAGTAGGCTAGTCCCTTTTAACCTCAACCTTATGTTCATCTTTCGCATGCTAACATTAGGATAGAATCTCCTTTCGCATCCCAATTTTAGGACTACTTTGAATGACAACGTTAGGGTCCAGTTTCCCCTTAGACCTTTTATGCGTCTCTCTTCTCATCTCAAAACAATTCTAACTCATCTAATAAAGACGATGAACATTGTGTGTCACGAGCCTTAAGCACATGGAAAATGATGAGTGGGGGTTTCTCCTTACTTATTTAGAGTGTTTAGTGTATGCCCTTTGGGGGATATGCGACGCATTCGCTCCTATGTCATAGTCTTTAGTGCAACGTGAATCTCAAACAAACTAATTCACTTCACTAAAACCTAAAAACAAAAATTCAAACCTTTTTATCCTTCGGGACTGTGTTTCAAACTCATTTTCAGAAAAGAGTACGTTACTTTTCCGTTCTACCGCAAACAGGCATCGTCCCTAACTGCTAGAACGGGAGCTTAACGTCGCTCATAAAAAACACTTAACCAACCTGTGGTTTCGTTACCCGAACTACGTTTGCTCTGATTTCTCATACCAGATGAGGATACGTAGGCACAAGACGACGATGTCTTGGCGAACATTTCCCCCCATCACCCGTAGTTTTTCGAACGACGTTGACTCTGACTTTCCCATTGCACGAGGGAATACGTAGGCATAGGGGGCGATGTCCTATCGAGTCTCTTTCTTTTTCATTTCTTCTCGTTTCCGTTTAGCAGTAGCTTATAGATAAACACACCCTTTGATTAGAAAACAAGCGTGGATCCCGTTGAGTACAACGGACGTGAGGGGTGCTAATACCTTCCCCTTGCGTAACCGACTCCCGAACCCAAGATTTGGTTGCAATGACCTTGTCTTTTTCCGTTTTTCAGGTTTTCTTCGATCGTTTCATTTCCCTTTTTTTGGGATAAATAACGTTCAGTGGCGACTCTTATGTTTTTTTGTCGGGTGTTTTTCGCAGTTGCGACGCTCATTATTTAGTTTCTTATAGTTAAATATTTTATCAATAAGAGTCATACACTCACCTACTCATAGTGTGTAATGTACTTTTTTTGTACTTTTTTTTCTCTTTATTTGATTTATTAGGGTTAAATCTTTGATTAACAAGAAATTGACATTTCAACTACTCATTATATAATGTAGTTTCTTTCTTTCATTTGATTTCATACGAGTAAACTCATAGTATGTAAAACACTTCTTTTCTCTTCATTTGTTTCTTTATAGTTGAGTCTTAAGTCAATAAAGATTAATCATTTCATATACTCATATGTGTAATATTTTCCTTTTTTTATTTGTATGGTTTAGAATTTGGTTTACATTGAGTATATATAATGTTGTTTTCATATATGCATAAATTTTTTTTTTTAATAAATAATGCGAGAGTAATTACATAGTATCTTAATTGAACATTGAGTGCACATAATAACTGGATTATCCAAGAAAAAATTACAGCAAAGAAACTGAAACGTATACCTCTTTATTTGAAATTTCATAATTAATATACACATTGGTTCTGCAACCTAAATGATTTATATGTCTTGGCAGCGGGGTATAAAGTTTTGTAATATAACTAGAACCTTGAATACAAATACACAATGATACAAGAAATTTGTTTTAAACAATTTCAATAAATTTATCAGACGCCCAGATTTTTGCAGCATCAGAGAGCTTACTTCCCTCAACCTCCAATCTTGTCAAACTTGAAGCATTCCTGACCAATAGTTCAATAGCATCAGTTTGTATCCCCAAACAGTGCATAATGTCAACATTTTGAAGTCTCTTGCAGCTCCTAAGCATAGAAAGTATAGCCACATTGGTGAGTCGTTTACAGCCTCTCACCTTCAAATCAACCAAATGAATGCAAGAAACCAACATCGAAATGAATTCCTTATCAAACAACATTTCATTATGAGACAAATCTAGTTTCCTCAATTGTCTCAAATGTTGACCCAAAGTTGCAAGCAAGCCTTTCTCCCTTTCAACCACATGACAATTTATGAGTGCCAATTCTTCAAGACCATTACTCACTGCCATAGCAAGAGCCTTAATCCCTTCACCAGTTACAAGACAACAACTTTGAAGCCTAAGACACGAAAGGCCTCTGAAGTTGATAGCCATAACGAAAAGATGATTGTTTTGAAGGTCCATAGGCAAACGAAAATCAAGTTTACGCAAATAATTAGAGGTGCAACTAGAAAAGAAATGTAGCAAAGCCTGTCTGCTAGCACCATCATGAAGCGAAAGTGATTCCAATGAGCTGCAATGTTGTGCGATTTCCAAGAGAAGTCCATCAACCACAGTCCTACAAGTTTTAAGCTCAATTTGTTGAATACCCTGCAAACAGTGAACAAAAGATGAGTAAGAACTACCAATTCCTTGGCAACTTAGAAGCTTCAAATTCTTAAGGCTTTTGCATCTCTTCCATAGCCAGGCAATTCCCAGATCATCTCTACGGATACCCTCAAAACAAACAGTTTCCAAACTGAGTTCCTTATCATAATCTTTACTTTCAAAAACCTCAGAACAACAGCCATCATCAGATAAAACAATTGAGAGATGTTTTAAGCAAGGAAAGAACAAAACCCAATTGAGAAAAACAGGTCTTGAAAGAGTAATAGAAAGGGACATCAATCGGGTACAAGAGTTTGAGAGAGAAACGATGGAAGAGAGAGGAACAAGAGTAGGTAGGAAAGTGAGAGAGACAAGTCTGGAGGAGGAAGAACAAGAGGAAATAGCAGAGAGAAAAAGCGATGTTGTTGTTGATGATGTTGTAAGAAGGAAGAGAGAGAGAGAAGAGAGAGAAGGGTGTTGATTGAGGAGAGAGATGAAGGAGAACAAGTGATGATGAGGGTTGTTGAAACGAAGGGAAAGGGTGGGTTTGGATGAACGGTACAGATGAAGCCATCGCTTTGAAACAAGGGAGATTGAAGAGGAGGAGGAGGAGGAAGATGGAAGTTTTAAGAAGATTTCTTGCAAGAGTTCATCGCATAGCCTATTATCCATCTTCTGGGTTGTTCGGAGAATCCAACTGGTTTTTCATTAGAGAGAGAAAGGCATAATTAGGTGATAAGTGAAGTGTCTTCGAAAGAGGAAGGATACTTGTTGAATGAATCTTAGACGCATATGTAATGGACGTGTAACCCACGTCCTGTGTTGGGATGTCAATCCCCAAACTTTATATTAATTCTTTTATATATATATATTTTGAAGAAGCCAAAGAGAATTCAACTAAGCACAAGAAGTTTTTATAAACACAAATAAATCCTCTTTCATTTATAAGCACAAGAAATTGCTTTTATATGACTTAAGTTTCTTATAAAGACACCAAATTCACACGCATATTATAAAATGTACACAACTAAATCCTCTTTCATTTATCAGAAGTTTTTGTCACACGAATTTAGGAGTGCCACCTTCTAAGGCTGACATCCCAACATATTTTTTTAATAATCAGCAAAGTTGCTTATACAGTGCGATTTCTGTTCATAAATTTCTTAAAAATTATAAAATTAATTAAATGTTCGAAAATTATTTAGTCACTAATTAAGCCAATTTTAGTGTTAGTTAAGTGTAGAGGTGTTAATAGTAAAAAGAGGCCTCTGCTCCATAACACAACTATAATTTAACAAAACTCATAGAGCTTTATTTATATATTAGTAGAAGACCCGTGCGTCCGCAAGGGTATGAAAAAAGTATAATCTTATCGAATTTAAATTTCACAAGAAAAAATATATTTAAATGCATATTAAGAGTAATATTTATGCAGATTTTTATTTATTTAAATCTAATTGATAGTATCTCGTGTAATTTTATGAAATATTTCAATCACATTTTAAACATTATAGTGAAAAGGTTGAAATACATAATCAATTAAATAAAAACCTAGTAAAAGATCGGTTGCGTCCGTATAAATAAGATTAAGATATATTTTAAATAGAAATTTTAATAAATACAATTTTATTCTATCTAATTCTAATTCTCTTACACTATATTTTATGATAAAGCTACACAAATGATAATTAAATCAAATATATAAACCACCTAATTGAGATCAATGATTTATAAGTAAGAGAGTCCAAATCTATAGTTACCAACACTAACATAATATTCTTTGGAACATAATTTTGCAGTAGCTTCACACATTACATTATGGGTAACATATAAGGCCTTTGAATGACAATTCTTGAGGATTTTGTTGCTCATGGTCACCAAGATACAAAGAAATTGAACAAAATCACTATATTCCGCCTTCAATATTTACATGTCAAATATTTATTGCATTGCTTTGTACTGCATATCCAAATATAGATTTCAGTAGTCTTTAACTTGAAAGTTAAAATAAGTTTAAATAAATAATTAGAAAACATGTAAAATAAAATATTGATTTATTGATTGGTATCTAAAATAAATTGTTTGAATCAAAACAAAATTAAAGAAAAATAAATAAATCTTCAGCCATGAAATCATGCAGTCATAATGTTAATAATCGTTACATAGAAATTAAACAAAAATGGAGAACTGCTGAGGGTATTGTTAACGCTCCAGAAAAATCGTGGGTCATGTTGCCATCTTGGTCTTGTTTGTATGTTGGTTCGACAGAACTTTCTTCTTCTCTGCTTTCATCAGGCATGTTATCCACTTCAATCATGTCAGGATCTCTTAATGTATCTTTATTAACAGAATCATCAATCCCTAACTCCACTGCAAGAACAAAATATCAGCTATAAAATTTTCAGTATTCATGTGGTATATTCTACAAAAGTGTCTACAAATTTTATCGATAACCTTAGAAGCCTGGATAATATGATACGGATACAACACGAAACGAACAAGTGATATCACAAAAGTCCAAGGAATTCAATAGACATCTTAGAATATTATTTCCTACTCTTATATGAAACTTAGCAGAAGAAAAATCACATAACGCTTTTGCGATAATCTCAGTGCTTTGTTGAATTTCAGTTGTGACCTCAAATAGAACCCAACCCCATTTGTCACAGTTGCCATTTGTGTCTGCTGTGTAAGGAATGTCACTTTTTTGAAACCTTGAAGCCTTCGTCCAAGTTTTGCTCCATCAAGAGACATATCCACTCTCTGAATGCCTCTTCCACCACTTGATGCTGCATATCCACTTGTACTCACATGAATTGCAGGAATTATGTTATAATTTTAATTCATTTCTAATTAACTATCGAAGTGAACAATTCATTTCTAACACACTACCAAAGTGAAATCAAAAGCATTAGTTACAGAATATTTACGTCAACTAAATGATACATGGAAGTAAATAGCTGAGAATAATTCTAAATGCTAAAGCTCAAAAGACTCTGAAGGACACCTAATAATTGTTCAATAATAATCAAACAATGTGAGAAACCAGATGAGAAATATCTGAAGTTGCACAAATCTACACACACAGCCAGAAAGAGAAAGAAGTACCTCATAGAGCTTAAATGGGACAGCATATTCATTATATAACTGTGTTATGCTCTTCAAATTTGAT